ATTATACCAATCAAACAAGGAAAAAAGATGGAAAATGTCCATTTTCCATGGAAAATTTGTTGTATCAAACAGGGCCTTAGTGTTTCCTTTTCTTTTTAGTATTAAGTTCCATCAAATAGATTTTATTCTCCATTGTAACTTCCCAGATTTCTCATCATAATTTTGATTGTCTTCCTCAATTCTCAATCTCACAATAAGATCTTCGAAGTACCATTTCCATACCTTTGTGTTTCGGGTAGTTCTTGATATCTTTCTACATTGATCGTAATTTTTCAATAATTATAGGAACCTAGATTGACTTGCTGAGCTTTATTCCTTTTGTATGTATGTCATGTAAGATAATCTTTAACTCTTAGACTAGATTAATCACTATTTTAGAATCCATCATTTTTAAAGTTAAGCAAATTACTAACAACGAATTTTTTGAATCCAACATCTTTCATTTGTACTTCGTTCCAAGAATTTCAAAAGTAGCTTAGTTGTCTTGACTAAGCTATATATATACTGTATAGTGTGTTGTCAAGACAGTTGATGATGTAATTTCTGCATAAGAAGCCATTGTGACTCTATGCGTTGAACGTTGCTCATCCTTGAGGATTTGTTTCTTACTCATCAATAAGTGAAACATCTTCACTCAAGAATTTTGGCAAATTAAGAATTGTGAGATAGAGCAATATATTTTATTGTCTTTTTTGAAGATCCACTCTGCTGAATTTCCTAGGCTTCTCCCTGTGAGCAATGCTAGAGATACGATGGATGAATAATTACTTGTGATGACGTAATAATTTCATAAGATAAATTAGCACGTAAATAATATTTATCGTCTTAAAATTGTTTTAAAATAATATATAATATATTAATTTGTATTCAAATATATTTAGTAAGTGGAAATTGGATAGAATTTTGACTTATTGAATAAAAGGAATAAAGAAGAAATTAAAATAATTGAGGTAAGAGTTTGACTCTTTCTCATTAAGACGATAATGTCTCTTACTCATGCTAACAGTATTTAGATACTTGTTTCCCAAGATTCAACAACATCGACTTATAATAGTAGCATTCTAAATTAGAAGATATGACGAGCCTACCAATATTTTGATCTCTCTGTGTAAAGTAAATTAAAAATCAAGTCAAACCTATAACTTCAATCAACATTATCAAGCTTAAAAAAAAAGGAAAAGTACCAACGAAAAGACAAGGAGGTCAGGCAGTGGATTGCTTATTTTTATTTAACCCAAATTAATCCAATACCAATCTATTTACATTACTTTACATATACGTCCATAAAGGAAATAGTGATAGAGAGAAAGAAGAAAAAAGAAAAAGAAAATGAAAATGAAAGACGAAGAAGAAGAAGAGTTAGAAAGTTCGGCAACGTGGTTTAGAAATAAGTGGTTTATGTTATTAAGCTTGAATTCCTCAGTTTCGAAAGGTAAGTAAAATGCTACGAATTGAAAAGTCATGTTAAAATTTAGGATTGTTGAATTTTTAGTTTAAATTCAATTTTATCAAGGAAAATTATTGAATTAAGTATAATAAGCTATGTATTAAGTTAAATGAAAAAAAATTAACCTAAGTTATTAAATGAAGTTTAGATATTGCTCATATATGAAAATATTAAGTTTTGGTATCACCTATTCAATTATCAAAAAAATTTAAAATATTTAATTGATAATCTAAATATCATATCATATTTTAGGTGGCGATACGGATATTGGGATAGCCTCCAACCGAGTTGATTTTGCGTACATAATAAGAGAGTGATAAAACTTAATTATTTTCAAGTATTGATAAATTAATTAAACTACTATATTATGTGCAATTATATGTAATTATATGTTCGATTATATGATTATTATTGAAAATTCTTTTACTATGATACATGTAAATTTTAAAGATTGAATATGATACATTTGTGATTTGGTATATGAGACGAGTGATATTGAAATTCACCAGAAAAGTACCACGATTATGTACTTCTTCCAGCTCCCTAAGGGCCCTTGGCCGTATTTTATACTATACGAGGGGTCTTGACCGTGGATTAAGAGGTCTTGATCGTGTACATATAGTTTACTAAGAAGCCTTGGCCATATTTTAGAATTGATTATGAGAGGTCTTTGAGAATTCACTTCTATTTACGGGGACCCAAGGCCTATGTTAGAAGCAATTAGTTAGAGGGATAGTCTACGTGCATATGACTAGATTATCGACTTCAGTCAGAGGATACATATTTGGTAGATTTTCGAGTACATTAGTTGTGATGAGATAATGTATAGATTTCAGTTGATGATTATATCATGATAATGAGATTATATTTTTCAGTATTATAAGGATGTTTCACATCTGGATTATTGTTATATGCTGTTATAATGTGAACTGTTAAAGGATGTAAATTCGATTTTCAATCAAATGTATAAATGAAAAAGTATATTTATTTTTGAACTTCTCCACTAATTGAGCTATCAACTCATATATTTTTTCACGATTTTTCTTATCGGGTAGTAGTTGTGTTTTTGTGCATCTTTTGAAATTAAGCCTTTGATTTTGGAGTCAGGGCAACACGACAAAGTTTGCTAATATTGACTCATGTTATAGTATAGTACAACAGGCATTGGCCAGCTGTACTCATACTTATGGTTCTTCCAAGAGATTATTTACTTCGAGATAGGGTGAGAGTTCTAATAGCACTAGATTTCCTTATTGTCAGTTATGTGGAAAACCTCATCCTGAAGCGTGTTTAAAGTTTAAACGGGTGGCTTCTATTATCATTGCAGCCAAGATGGAAACATTAGAAGAAATTGTCCAATTTTATTATAGAATAGTGGTATGTCATAAAGAATATCTCCCCAAAAAGTGATGTTAATACAGGACAAAATCAGATTCAGGGAGATACCTTGGCTAACAAAGTAGGTACAAGCAATATGGTTCAATCCCATACTGCAAGTTGTAGTGATACTAAACTAAAAGGTCAGATAGAACGATCGAAGACCCAAGGTAAAGCTTTTGCTATGACTGAGCAAGCAAGTTAAGAGTCATCAGATATTATTATGGGTATGTTGTCTATTTTTGATAGAGATGCTTGTATTTTGATTGATCCTAGATCTATACATTCTGTTATTTCATTTGAACTCACGTTACATGTGATCCAAAAACTAGAACCTTTAGGCATTTGTTTGGTAACTGGTAGGTAAATCACTATTGACAGACACTATATATCGAGACTGTGAGATTAAGGTAGATGAGCACGAGTTGAAGCCAGATTTGATACCTTTTGTCATACATGATCTTGGTGTTAGTTTGGGTATGGACTTTTTGGCTACAAATTGAGCTTCAGTTGATTGTTTTCGAAAGGAGGTTGTGTTTAGACAATTGGGACAACTTGAAGTTATGTTCAATGGACAGTGTAAAATTTTACCACCATTGATGTTAGAAGATTCTCAATAAGGGCCGTCATGCATATTTGGCTAATGTGATTGATACGAATGCTAGCAAAAGAAATTCGAAGAATATATTTCCATAAGAACTACAAGGTATACAATTAGATTGGGATATTGAGTTCACTACAGATATGATTCCAAGAACTGTACCTATTTCATGGGCACCATATAGAATGGCTCCAACATAACTGAAAGACAAGGGCTTTATTAGACCTAGTGTATTGTTCACAAAATATTTTCTTTCGATTTTAAACTACCGCAAGTGTACGGTTCGTTAACAAGTAATAGAGTGGATTCAATTAATCCGAATATCATCCCACAGAGATTGATTAGTTCAAATTTTATCTAACGTAGCCTTAACCGAAACTGGATTGCCAAAGTGGATGTGAACCTAAGTAAAACCCTAATTTTAAAAAGAAACCCTAATTACGCAAATTCAATGAGTGAATTGAAATTAAGACTCAAAATAATATTTTAACACTCTAGAATAAAACTAAATGTTGAGAACGCACGTTGTTATAATCAATAGAAATTAAACACACTAGGATCACGATTTCCCATACAATTATCACTTTAAACCCTAGTTTCACAATATGGCAACACACCTCAATTGTGACGAATCAATGTTCCTAAGTCCATCCAATACTCTCTCTCGAGACGTATCGAACATATTTCTACATACCACCGACCTATATTTCTATGACAAGAGCATATGTAAAAATGCATGCGATGTTATGAACAATTAAAGATTCACGTAGGGCATAGCGGTAGACTTCTATCCTCTATCGGACCCTACGATGATTTATATTATGTCAAATCTATTCCAATTCTCTCAAATGCTAGAATAAATCACCCAAATTCACACAATTACGAGCCCTTAATTGCGGAAACATTAATTGCATATAAATCATTCAAAACAATAAAAATGTGTCTTAATGTCAAATTGCAAAACTAGGATATTAAAATTCAAATTACATGGTTCATCGATCTCCTAGCACATGAAAATCTAGCCTAGCATGGTTAAAATAACAAAATACATTAGGTTTTGAGTAATAAGCATCACCGGATTATAAAAGCTTGAAGAAATCTTGAAATTCTACATGCCAATCTTCGTTCTTGCGCTCCAAATCCTCTTCAAGAAGTGTTTTTCTGCCTCCCAGTGCATTCTCCTCGTTTCTCGACCTTTTTTGATATTTATATCGTGTGAATATTAGGTTACCAAAGGAGTTTTAATCGTATAAGGAAAGAAAATTTTCGCATCGAGAAGACTACCATGCGACCGCATGGTTATTCCATGTTTCATCAAAAATTTTCTGCATTCAGTCGTGCGGCCGCACGAGAGTTCTACCATGCGGTCGCATGGTAGACTCCAACTTCTATTATCTTCAATTTAGTCCCTTTACTTGAATCTTTCACTTCTGGGCCTCTTTTCTTCACTCTTTCCATTCCATCATCCTAAGACATCATCAATTGGCATTTGGTTCAATCAATTCCTTGATTTGTTCATCGGGTCAACTTTTGGGTAATTACAACTTGGTCCTTGAACTTTCACTTTGTGTCATTTTAGTCCTTTTCGCGTCTTTTCTCATGACTTTCACCATATTCATAGGTGTTCCCTATAATCCACAAATGTAATGAGATTAAGTCACAATTCAATCATTATGCTCGTTATCAAGTCATGTTTATGACTTAAATAAGTGTGCAAAAACACAATTATCAAACCCCCCAAACTTGAACTATTGTTTGTCCTCAAACAAGATAGTGATTTACTTCTGAACAAACATGACTTAATATCATGCTGTGACTTAGGATTGGACTAAGTATTTTACTTTATGAAAATTTATCAGTGCAAAAATGACATCAACCTTTACCTGTTAAATGCAAATCGACGTGCGTGTGTGAATTCATGCCAACATATCAGGTTCATGATGAATTTGAGTCTCGAACCCAAGTGGTCAAATGTATCCTTACTCGCTTGAGAGATACACAACCCTCCAAACTTATTCTTTTCACTCAAATATCCCGGGGTTGTGTTTTAAAATTAGGAGTTTATATAGTTGTAGTTCTCACCCTCTCATAGTTTGGATTAATCTCACTATCACAAGTTTACATTTCAACAAGCGAAGGCTCTCCCAAGTTTGATTGCTTCGACACTTGAGATTAAAACTAAGTTACTTGCCTCGCCTCAAAGTTATAGTTTCTTCAACCAAATGTCCAAGAGTTTTTCTTCATATTATTGGCTCTCTTTTGTTTTTCTCACTTTTCTCTAATTTTTCTGATTTATTATTATTTTTATTATCATCTTCTCATTTACTTTCTATATAACCCATATAACGAGCTTTAGGCCAGTGACTTCCAAACCAATAGGCTTTAGAGCACCAGGTTTTAAACCCTTGCAGGCTTATTCACTCGAGTTATAAAGGCTCGATCAGATAACTTTTTAATTAACCTCTTTCCCTCTTACTTTCTATATGACCCTTTTAGCGAGCTTTAGACCGGTGATTCCCAAGCCAGTTGACCTTAAGGCACCAGATTTTGAAATATCCTTACATGCTTACTTGCTCGAGTCATAAAGGTATGAAAAGAAGTGTCTCATTCTCACAAATTTATTTTATGCCCTTATTGTTCTAGACATTTAGTTTCCAAAATCAACTCCTAATTTAAGATTTTCACCTAATCTTCAGCTCACTGGTCTAGGCAATCCACAGAATAAAATTTATGCACGGAGCCTCCACTCATCTCAATGCTCTCCTATAATAACTCAACCATCACCAAACTATCTTTAGGCAGTTTACGGTTTAATTCAATAAAAGGTTATCATTCTTTTCCTATTTTGTGCTCAAACTCCTGTCGTTCACCCAATATGTAAAGCATGAATAGTGTGCACAGATAATGTCAAGTGTTGCATCAACAAGTATCAGTTAGCCTAATTGCACCAGATCCAAAGTTTTTGCAGTTTAAACTAGTCCAATTATAACATCATAGCTAGCAAAATTATCAAGCTCACACAAGCATGTATGAAAATAATTAAAGCAAAACTGAATAAAGTGCACATATTTTTTTTATCTATTCACTCATCATGCACACACTGTGGAATGTAGATACCGATGAACACAGATACTTAGTTAAAATTATGTCACCCCAAACTTATTTAATACATTGTCCTCAATGTAAAATTAACAGAAGATTAAAGATAAAATTTTGCGGACAACATGAAAAAGAAAAGTCAAAATGTGGTAAATAGTACTTCCCCTATATCAAAATGGATGAGATGGCGTGAAACTGGGTCCTGATGTACCATCATC